GTGTTCTACATTTGACAACTTTTTGAAGCACAATCGAGGCATACTATATTTTACCAAGATTTCGAAGAGCGTCATATCAGTGTTAGCTCAGGAATTTGCTTGATCAAAGTTACAAGAACACGTCGCTTCCGGAAATAATTATCCCATCATGCAAACACATTTTGCGGTCTCGGATAGATGACTCGGCTGGTGTCTGGTAGGGTAATGCACAATCAATTTGTTGAATGCATGCTCCAGATGAAAATACGGTTCAAAAGGGTGGTGTTAATGCACTTTACGGTCAATATATACAACAACAAAAGTCATTATGAACGTATAATATCGGATATCCATTGATGACCTACAGCGAGGTGGAAGAGTGGCGGGTCTACAACCGCAGCTACAGTTCCTCGGGCAGTTATGCGTCGTCAAGTTAATGCTGTAGATTATTACCTGGCCAAACCTTGATTTCGAAGCCACGATCACATGTTCCTGGTACACGCGACTAAGGAAGGCCACCATGTACAACATATATTGTGGAACGGCGATTAATACCGGTGTTTCCCGAATGAAAAGTAATAGATCAAAATATGTTAAAAACAGGCTCATCGCCTTTAGTGCACTCACAGCTCTTGAAAACCAGCCAACCAGCATGCCTGTATTGGCTATGAGCCAACAGTAACAACTATCTTACAGTATGTTAGTCCTAATCAAGAGCTGGGCCAAGGTCGGAGGACCTACCAGCACTGTATAACCTCCTCGCTATTCCAGTGCACGTTTAAAAAAGGTTACCCAAGGGAGTGTTACAGTTACTTTCAAAGTGTCATGATGCTGATTAGTGTAAACATATTTGTTCAGACCATAGGTCACTGTTCCATGTAAATACCACCAGGGGATTTAAGCCCAACATGAGGTGACACTGCAGCAAATCTAAGATGTCGCTCACCGGACTGGCCATCGTGCTCCTGTGTCTTCCAGTGGTCACGGAACAGCTGAGTTTCCTACCAGATTTTTATGGTTCGTACTATTTAATTACATAGAACTCAGAAACCAAACAGATCTCGGCGACATTTTTTTATAATGATGTGTGGTCTGTGGCTCGCAAGAGCGTTGTGTGAGGCTCGATTTCTTAAAGGTAAATACGTTTTACAGTTGAGTGTCCTGCAAGACGCTTATGATGGTTCGTACTATTCAGTTACAAGAACAAACAGATCTTGGTAAAATTCGTTTTTGGCTGAACTCATGCTAATGATAATAATGATTTGGGGTCTGTGGTTCACATGATCGTTGTTTGAGGCTGGAAAATACTTTTTACAGTTGCATTTCTGCCAAACGCTTATGGTGGTTCATACAAATCACTTACATAGAACAAACAGATTTGGGCGAAAATGTTTTTGACTTGAACTCATGCTAATGATTAAAAGGATGTATGGCCTGTGGCCCACAAGATCGTTGTTTGAGGTTCGATTTTGTGAAGGTAAATGCTTTTGTATTTGTAAAAGTAAATACGATTGCGTTTCAATTTGTTATTTATCATCATTTGTGATGGGAGGTCAGAATGATGTGAAAGGCGCTAAAACTCTTCGGTTCTTCTAAATGTTTGCTGTCTGCGGATTTCACTGTCCGCGTGTCTAACCCCATATGATTTACACCCTCATTCAACACTGATATGAATCTGAGAAAGAATCTAGAAAAGAAAAGCTCCACAAAATGTTAGCTTCAAAATACAATAAGCATCTTTTCCTCACAGAGCAGTCCAGAGTCTCCTTCACATCGGGTGATGACGTCACACTCACGTGCCCGGTTACTCTACATCCGGGCGAGGATTATGAACAAGTTGAGTGGACATTCCTCTCCTGTGGACGCTATTTCTTCATGAACCCGTGCTATGAACGATCCGTTTGGTCAAGAGAGCAAGGACTTGGGATCCAGGAAGGTCCCGAAATTTCTGAAATTCCCCAAGACAGTTCTGTGAAGGCTGTAGCTACAGTCAAGAACATCACCAATGGGTATTACCTTTGCCGTGTTGTTGGTACAGGAAGCACCGATCAGTCCCACCTTTTCGACGTGTATGTTCTTGAAAGTAAGTGTTCTCATCCCAACACATAGGGGAATATTTATAATTTACTTGTGAATGACATCAGCTATTGAAGGCAGTAATAATATATTAGGAATACAAACAATACTCATGCATTTTTATGACAATATAGAACAAACTTAAAATTTATGGATAACAACTTCTTTTCTATTCGCGTGAGTGCGACGTTTCCATACAGATTCTTGTACCGTTGTCAAGAATCTGTATCGAAACGTCGCACTCACGAATAAAAAGAAGTTGTTATCCATAATGTTTGTTCTATATTGTACTTCCCAACTTCTAAAATGCCACTCAAAGAAGTCATTTTTATGACAACTGCGCAGATCGACGCTGCGTATATCACTGGATTGTCAGAGCGTTGTCATTTAGCTGTAATATTACCCTCAGCAATATTCCAGCTATATGGCATCGGTCTGTAACTAATCGAGTCTTGGCCAGACAATCCAGTGATCAACAGCATGAACATTGATCTAGACAATTGGGATACTATGACATGTGTCAACCAAGTCAGCAAGTCTGACCACCCGATCCCCTTTAGTCGCCTCTAACGACAAGCATGGGTTACTGTAGACCAAGTCTAACCTGGATCTTCAAGGGTTCGCAATCAGTGGAATCCGTTTGGGCAGATGAACGAGGCTGAGAATTTTGTGGTGTTCACATTTTTTAGAAAGGACTGAAACTTGCAAGGAATCGTCCACTGTATGTTGTTTCATTGTTTCTACATTGCGTTAATATATATCGCTTTGGTTTTACTCACAGATGCATCGGCCGTGCCAACCATAAGACCTGATCCAATTTTCGTCGTGAAGGGTGCGACAGGATCTGTACAAGTCACGTGCAAGGACGAGGCCTATGTTCCTGGAAGCATCATGAGAATCTATCATGCAAGTTGGTCTTTTAGAGCAACATTCGTCGAACTCCCAACAGTTTGCACCATCACCTATGACCCCGAGACTCCTTCTGAAACGGTGTCTTGCCAAGCGGAAGTTCCAGCATCCATCTTGTCAGGCAAGCTCACCTTGCAAAACTCAATCCATTGCGACGTCATCCGTCCGGGAGGAAAACGGATATCTCTGCAAAGACGTGCGAGGATTGTGGACCTTGGTAGCGGCTCCCAAACAATCACAATATGATGTCATGCCCAAGATAAAATTCTGTTTGATGCCCGACATATTTGAAAATAGATACATAATTAAAAGCTTGCAAACAATGTGCTTTTGCTTCTGTTTTCTGATCGCCTCCGACGGTAGATTTCTGAGCTGGTCTCAAAAGATGTGAACTCGAAGGCCAATTTCATATATTCCTGCATGTGATCGAGTGAGCTTCGAGTGAGTGAGTGAGTTTAGTTTTACGGCGCACTCAGCAATATTCCAGCTTTATGGCGGCGCTCTGTAAATAATACAGTCTGGACCAGACAATCCAGTGATCAACAACATGAGCATCGATCTGCGCAATTGGGAACCGATGACATGTGTCAACCAAGACAGCGAACCTGACCACCTGATCCCGTTAGTCGCCTATTACGATAAGCATGGGTTACTGAAGATCAATAGTCTAACCCGGATCTTCACGGATCATCAAGCTTCAAAATCGTGCCAATGTGCATGCATGATCTGGGCCATGAGGTTTTGTACCCCTAAAATGAATATTCATGATTGTTCAAGGCTATGCAGAAAGTACAACTTTTCACTAAGTTTGATTATTTGTTACAAAACATTAACGCACCCGTCAGAGATATTCACGGAATATATTCACCTTGTCATGTTATTGGATTCAGAGGCAGGTTCAGTGTCCGTCCAGTATCGAAAAATATCTTATTAGAGTCTCATTGCCTTGTTTGTTGGCGGGCAAGTTTGTGTAACATACTGTTTCATGAAAGTGGTCAGATCCAGCTGCAGAATCTGCTGTCGTCTTACTGTAATATCACACCAGGGTCGACACACAGTAAAACTGCCATTTGATCTAGTACATTGATCCAGTGATCAACAACATGAGCATCGATCTACACAGTTGGGAAATGATGACATGTGTCAACCAAGTCAGCGAGCCTGACCACCTGATTCCGTTAGTCGCCTCTTACAAGCATGAGTTGCTGAACACCAATTCTATATTTGAAAAGTCTTTTTATGAATTGAGGCCAGTGAAGGGCCTCAGCAATAGGTGGATTGGCTCTATGATGTTACAAAACTGACAACTGATATTCTTACGACAATGCAAGGGCGGTTTCACGGGGTTGTTCCTGTTGATAAAGTCGCCAAAAATCTTTATGACGTTCTTGTGGTCGTTGATTTGACGTGTGACGTCACACTGTGAGGTATCAGATTCAAAAGCTTAGAGTGGAATTGGACGTCTGTTGTTGAAGAAAAAGTAGAAATTATTCAACGTATTCAAATATTAGTTGGTTGTGTTTCTTAGAAATGTTTCATAGAGACTGTCCCTTTTCACTTCCCCAAATCAGATAGAAGGCTGGGAACTGTAAAAGTCCCGACCTTAGCCTTAGGTCAGGAAAATAATATTTGAAACAAACTTCTTTCTAGCAGCCAATCATGGCACTTGGCTCCGTAGGAAAACAAGTAGTAATGGTTACAGAAATAGGTCGATGAGTCGAGGTCAAGATATATAGCCACAGGGCAACTTCTTTCTTGTCAAAAGGTTTTGGAACAAGGGCATTCAACTGTCTACCATATCGATGAAGGAGGAAGGTTCGAACTGATGAAGTTCCAGACGTCCACTAGTTATGCGAAACCGACGAGCACCCATGTTAAGAATTTTTTTATGTTTTTAAACAGGACAAACCTACGTTTCGAAACCACGATCCTATAATCTTGGAACGCTTGGGGCGCAACTCGGTCCCTATCGACGCTTCAAAATATCATAAGATATCAGAAGCATCAAAAGTGTCAGAAAACCAACCTGCCCTAGCACAATAATAATTATAATTATCGAAAATGATATGTACTTTTTTGAGGTTTTTTTTAGTATAATAATCCTCATATCACAGAAGTTACCAACTTGAAATAAAACAGAAGTGGCGTCACACTGACATGCGCAACTACACTACACTGGAAGACTTGAGACGCTACTCGGTCCCTATGGACCCGTCAGAATATCGCTAAATTAGATTGTCAGTATTAGAAAAAACTTCAGTCTGCCTTAACACACCAAATATTTATCGACAGTAACTTGTTGTAACGGTAACATGCCATTCCTGCGGGAATATGGACTCCAGTGAGAGTAACGAGTGTTATGTGTGTTTATGTACGCGCCCTTTTTACTTAATTGTTCATGTCTGCAAAACGTTTATCCTTAACATTAGGTATCATCTGAAAGATCATGTTCTCACCTTTCTTAGTGAGTTATCTGTTTTGTTGTATATATAATCTTGAAAACATACCTTCACTACAAAGTATACCAACGTACTCCCTGTAGCTCAATTTCATCAGTTAAATCCCTATATCTCATACTAAGTTCGTATTATGATTCTAATACCCAGGCAGTCTGATAGGGAAGTTTCTCAGCTTTCCATCCATGTATGGATTTATAACTTTACCATTACTTTAGTAAGTAATGTAGTATGTTTACGAAATTGCAAAAGCACAATTCCTTGGGACTGGCGGGTCTGAGAGGGTGTCCTGCTAATTGCTTCCTCCGACGTCCGCCCATTCCCTTATCTAGACCATGGTCAAGCCCATCAGTGCCGAACATCGCCACTGCTCTAAGGAACGTTGGGGAGGACCTCGGGAAGCCGGACATGGGTAACTATGGTACACCTCCTTCATGTGCTCTATGGGGTTGCTTTGAATAAGCCAACTGTCAGGATTTATATTAGCTAGACTTCCAAAGAGTAGGTCTACGTCTATTCCTTCTTTTAAGCCTTATGTAGAAGTATATCTAGTTCCTTGACTTATCCCCAGTCCGTGCTTCCCTAGTCCATCATATATTTTTGTGTTTGATCCACCCCGTTCCACTATTGTGTAATTGTATGGCAGTGACCATTGCGCCTTGTACTTGCTATGATTGAAGATAACAATATATTGTCATTCTCACCCAACCTGTGTTTGTTCATATTTGACTCCTAGTACAATGGATATTAGTTTGTGAAAACGTCATTTTGGACACTAGTGTGGAAGTTTGGTTTGCCTAAAGCTACGTTTCTGTCTGCTATTTTTATGTTATGGTACGGGAACTATGTCAGCAGTACACCAGTATACTGTGAGGGGCTAGGTCGCCGTAACATAAATTGGGGAGCTCGTCCGGGATCCTATTTCATTAACCTGTCATTAGGCTTCTTGTTTTATGACCACACACAAGGTCACAAGGGGTCAGGTTTGACTGTTGGGTTATGTGAGCAGCGGCGAGAGCCATGAGGGAGCCAGGTTTGTGTATTTTAGCAGATGGTAATTGTGTCAGTTAGATCACAATCTGTAGTTAGTGGAGGGTGAAACAAAATGTCTTTGCATACTCTTGTTCAAGCGAGAAACGGGCTAAATTACCCGAGTTGTTGAGTTTGGCTGAAGAGCATGGAATTGAAATTCCTGAAACCATAAGAGAGAATGCTCAGAAAGTTAGGAAGTTACTGATTAATGAATTATCTCATGATCAGTCAGCTGGTGGGGACGATACCCCAAATGACATAGAATCGGACCACCAAGGCTTGACCTTTGAACAGCAGCTAGAGCTAAAGAAATTAGAACTAGAGGCTAGGAAGTTTGAGAAAGGGCAGGAATTAGAAGCCAAGAAATTAGAACTGGAGGCTAAGAAGTTAGACTTAGAGCGGGAAAAGTTGGACCGGGCTACAACCGAAAATAGTAGGGTCAACCTTAGTGAGTGCTATCGGTCAGTGCCTAACTTTGACGAAGACGATTTGGATCAGTTCTTTGCTCAATTTGAGTATGTAGCAGAGTCGCTCAAGTGGCCCAAAGAACAATGGGGTTTGATTCTTCAGAGCAAACTTAAAGGCAGGGCCAGCACAGCTTTTAACGGACTTAGCATTCCTGATAGGGCTGATTTCGAAAAGGTTAAGGAGTGTATTTTCCTTACTTATTGTTTGACACCTGAGGCATACAGGCAAAAGTTTAGGGATGTCAAGAAACTTTCTCAAGAAACTTATTGTGATTTTGCTGCGAGGTCCAGTAAAGTATTTGGCTTTTGGTTAAAAGCAGAAGAAGTAGATGGAAGCTATGATAAGTTGAAGGAATTAGTAATCTTGGAAAACTTCAAGAACAAGTTACCTAGCAATATCCGGATACATTTGGAAGATAGGAATATCAAGGAAGTCAGGGAAGCGGCGGTTTTGGCCGACAAGTACGCTCTCATTCATAAAGACCAGACAGCCGAGGGCACCTATAGCGATTTCTTTCGGAACAAAAGTTCAGTTCACAAAGGGGCAAAATCCTAGGACATCGCAAAGGGTGATAGTTCTAAAAAGCTAGTGAAGGGCAGAGTAAGACTGAATCTAAGAAGTCAGGTTTGAACGTGGATGCACGTAGCTTTGCACCCAGGTGTAACTATTGTCAGAAACCAGGTCACTTGGCGGTAACCTGCTATTTGAGAAAAAGGGATCAGGAAAAGGCAGTGGCTTTTGTTAGGACAGAAACCGGGTTTGGAAAACCAATTAGTCAGTCTCGGTACGTATCGGAGGCGAGGATAGGTCCCAACCGTTCAGGCAGTAAGAGTGAGGTGACTATATTTAGAGACACGGGGGCGTTCTGTTCGCTGGTCAGGCGAGAGGTAGTTCAGGGGTGGAAAGGAACGGCTGTGGGTCGCTCAGCTATCATACAATCTATCGCGGGTGCCTACCAAGCTGTGCCTCTACACAAGTTGTATCTAGACTCAGATTATGTCACCGGGGAGGTTCTGGTCAGGGGTGATCGACGACTTACCCATTCCCGGGGTAGATGTTCTGTTAGGTTCGGACTTGACAGACAAATGTTGTGCTAGCAAGTGTCTAACTGTATCTGAGCTGCCATTGGAGTCAGAGGAGATTCAGGATGAGGAGGTCTATCCAGCTTGCGCAGTAACTAGGTCTATGTTTAGGCAGAAGCAACCTAGTGAGACTGTTCTAGACTCCGATGATAGTGGGCTAGACAGATTGTTTGATGAGAGTGAGAGAGTGAGCAGGGCTCCAAGTGAAATCGTAACTGAAAATGACAGAGAAGGAGAGGGATAAGGACAAAGTGAATGAAAACCCAGTTGAGAGGGATCTTCTTG